GCACACCCGTGTGGCGGTCAGGTGAGCTGCGGCTGGCGGGGGACACCGGCGCACGGAGGGGAAAGCCCGGGAGCGGCTGAGGTGTCGGGCTCCCGCAAGGAGCTCTCCCCTCGCCGGGCTGCGAAGCCTGCACGGAGGACGCTGCTTTGCAAAGGCTGCTTTGTTTCCGAGCGCCTGCACGTTTCTCTGTCCCGCCTATGGGATCTGCGCATCTCCAGAGCTTACAGGCATGCTGCCTATGGAGGCCACTCAATCTACCCACGGAAATTTTGAAGAACGAGTTAGAAAATACCTCTCGGGAGCGACACGAGCACAGCAATCCCATCCCAGGGCAAGATGCCCATCCCAGGGCGTCCCAGGACTAGCAGTCCCTTTCCGTGAGCTGCCGGCACCACGGGGTTGCGCTAACCGTTTCCCACCATACCAGTACCAGGCCAGAGAGCTCCCAAGCCGTGAAACCTCCGGGACGGGACGGCACACAGAGACAGCACCCAGCTGCCTGCTGGAGAGGCTTTCCCCGACCCACAGTGAGCTTCTGCACACGGGAATTTACACAGCACCAGCGTGGCCTGCGTGCAAGCGCCCATCCCATGGCTTGTGCCACCATCTGCCCACAGGCGACTTCCCTTCCAGGAGTCACTGGAGTCACGGAGCAGACACTGGCTATTGCAGCTGGTCGGCTGGGAGACGGGAGCAGGGCACAGACCCAGGTTTATGCGGACAGGGCAGAGGGATACGGTTATGGTCAAAGGGATGCGTGACAGAAGGGTGAAGAGGAGAAGTAACTCATCTTTCTGTGTGTGTGTGAGAGCGAGCACTGCCCGCAGCCATCGCCACTCCAGCAAAAGCCACAGTCACCACTGCCACTGCCGTGGCACCAGAACAAGCTGAGGTTGCCCATCCTCCTAATGGGACTGTTTGCTTCAGCCTTCCAGCCTTAGAAAGTGAATTTTAAAAGAAAAAAGCAAACTATATTATGTTAACAAAAACTAAATATTCTCACTAAAAAAATTAGAATATTAGAAAATGGTGTTAGTGCAGAAGTTAAATAGATGTTTAATGGGTCACCAGCCAAAACTCTTACAAATTGCAGGCTGCCAAACTTGTAAAATATCTACTTTTTAAATCAACACATTTTAAAATGCTTTAAACACCAGATTTGTCTGCTGAAATTATTATAAAGTGCCCAGTGATTGTGAAATTCGGAACACAATTTCTATTTAGAAAGCCTGAAGATTTCTCAAGCCAAAAATGCATCCTCATCATGTCTGTCTTCAACAGGCAAATTTCTGACACATCAGTACCATTCCTTTATTTTAGCTGGGCAAAATTCCCTGACAATGAGTTCCACAAGTTATTTCCCACTATATTAAAAAAAAAAAAAAATCATATTTGTTTGTTTTATATGTAATAATTCCACTGGATGCTCCCTATTTCTTGTGTCATGAAAACAAGAAAATAATCATTCCCAAATTGTCTTCTCTCTGTGCCACTGAGTTCATAGCATTTATCATATTCTCAGTCATTTTTTCCAAGCTGAAAAAAACTCTAAGCTCTATGACTGAAAGCTGTGACTTTGATCATTTCCATCACCCTATTCTACACATATAT